TGCTACATAATCCGCAGCAACCCGCTCAAGGTCATTCTCCCTCAGTGACATCCTGAATGCGCGCTCCCGGTAAGCAGCACACCTCTCGAGATTCCAGGTCCGGACGGCAGAGGGATGGCTCAGTCCCTCTTAGGAGGGAGTCCCCGACCACCACCACCCGTCGTTTCCTTTTGGGGGTGGTGGCCGTGGAACCCCCATCCCTAGGACTACGCATCCCATGCCTTTCAGTAGATGGTGCTCCCTTCTGGTTTCTACCTTGTGAGGTCCCTTCCAGAGCATTCAGCACTGCAGAGCCTGTGGAGAGAGCTTGAAAGCGATTACTTACCTCTATAGCATCGGGGGATTCCCATGCTGGCCTTTTTCCCCTTCTAGAAGTTACATGCTGCCAGTTCTCTTCTTGGTCGCGTACTGCCCTCTCTGGCTCCTCTGCCTGCCGTGCTTGAAGGAGTTAAATGCGCCTTCTATCGAGGAAGTCTTCATCCTCTCTAATCAAGCGTAAGGTCGACACTTGGGCCTCCAGTCCTCTAATTTTTTCTTCCAAAATCTCGACCAGCTTGCACTTGGTGCAGATGAAATCCGTTCTTTCTTCCGGGAGGAAGACAAACATGGCACACGCCGTGCAGGTAACAACAGCAGCAGACGCATCATCAACCATCGCTGCTGTCCTGGAGAAGGGATTTAAAAAGAAAGACAAGAGAACCTCCCGCCCTTCCCTCTCCCCTTCCCAACTCCCTCTCAAAACTCCCTGTTAGCAATCACCTGTGTGCTGAAAATAGATAAATAGAATGGCATCTTTTATGTACATATAACTTCACCAAAACATGGTGCATATATTAAACCATTATACAGTACTATATTAATTGTTTCTAAGCACCATGTAAACAATAAGGTTATCAAAACTAACTAGAAGTGTTTTGAGTATTTTTGTTAGCAACTAATTTAATTCAAATTACTTAAAAATGCGTAGGTAAATAAATAAAGCAAATAAGTGGCATAGATAAAATGTGGGAGTCCAGGAAGTTATAACATCATTAATAGCACTTGATTGGGAAGAGTTTTAATATTTTCTTTGACCAAGCAGCAGCATTTTATTTTAAATGAATATTTTTTAGTACCTCTCAGGTTTCAATTTTAATATACATAAGAACTTAATAAGATCATAAAATCAACCACACTGGGTCAGACCAATGGTCCATCTAGCCCAGCATTCTTTCTTTGATATGGACCAGTGCCAGATGCATCAGAGAGAATGAACACAACGGGACAATTTGGAGTGAACTATTCCCTGTCATCCAGTCCCAACTTCTGGGAGTCATAGGTTTAAGTACACCTGGCACACAAGGTTATGTCCTTGACCATCTTGGCTAAAAAACATTGATGGACCTATCTTCAGTGAACTCATCTAATTCTTGTTTTTACCCATTTAGACTGTTGACCTTCATAACATCCCATAGCAATCAGTTCCACAGGTTGTTCATTATGTAGAAAAAGTACTTCCTTTTATTTGTTTTAAACCTGCTATTTTAATTTCTTTGCGTGGCCCCTTGTTCTTGTGCTATGTGAAGGAGTAAATGACACTTTCCTAATCAATAAGGAATGTCAGTCATTTAGAACCTACGTTTACTGTACATACTTGATTCTATTTTGTTACTGTAAATTATATCTATATATTTACATGCATAAGTAATAAAGATATTAGAATTTTGAATTAAGAAAATGAGTTTAAAGAAAATGTATATTAAATGAATCCTATGTCTTTATTTTAAATCTTTGTTCACTAAAATTTATCTTGTCAGTTTTTCTTCCTTTTGTTTAAACTTTGGCAGAATGTAGAGTTTTCTTGTTTCACTACTTCTCATCTGAAGAAGTGGGTTTTGACCATAAAAGCTCATCATAGAATCATAGGACTGGAAGGGACCTCGAGAGGTCATCGAGTCCAGCTCCCCGCCCTCAAGGCAGGACCAAGCTCCGTCTACACCATCCCTGACAGATGTCTATCTAAACTGTTCTTAAATATCTCCAGAGAGGGAGATTCCACCACCTCCCTTGGCAATTTATTCCAATATTTGACCACCCTGACAGTTAGGAATTTTTTCCTAATGTCCAATCTAAACCTCCCCTGCTGCACTTTAAGCCCATTACTCCTTGTCCTGTCCTCAGAAACCAAGAGAAACAAATTTTCTCCTTCCTCCTTGTGACACCCTTTTAGATATTTGAAAACCACTATCATGTCCCCCCTTAATCTTCGTTTTTCCAAACTAAACAAGCCCAGTTCACGAAGCCTGGCTTCATAGGTCATGTTCTCTAAACCTTTAATCATTCTTGTCACTCTTCTCTGTACCCTTTCCAATTTCTCCACATCTTTCTTGAAATGTGGCGCCCAGAACTGGACACAGTACTCCAGCTGAGGCCTAACTAGTGCAGAGTAGAGCGGCAGAATGACTTCACGAGTTTTGCTTACAACACACCTGTTGATACAACCTAGAATCATATTTGCTTTTTTGGCAACAGCATCACACTGTTGACTCATATTCAACTTGTGGTCCACTATGACCCCTAGATCCCTTTCCGCCATGCTCCTTCCTAGACAGTCGCTTCCCATCTTGTATGTATGGAACTGATTGTTCCTTCCTAAGTGGAGCACTCTGCATTTCTCCTTATTAAACCTCATCCTGTTTACCTCTGACCATTTCTCTAACTTGCTAAGGTCATTTTGAATTATGTCCCTATCCTCCAAAGAAGTTGCAACCCCACCCAGTTTGGTATCATCTGCAAACTTAATAAGCGTACTCTCTTAATAAGTGTACTCATGATATTGTATATGTATTTTTGTTAGTTTCTAAGGTGCCTTAGAACTACTTGTAGTTTTTAAAGTTACAGATTAACATGGCTACTCCTCTGAGACTTTCATCCCTTTCTGTTCCCTGACCTGAGGTTTTCATTTCTCTTTTTGACTGTGTGGATTTTAAATATATCTGATAAATGCTATTTGCATTCATCAGGTATATTTAAATAATAATATATTATTTTCTCACATTGAATAAAAACACTAGAAATAACCACTAAGTGATAACATGAAGTGTTAAAATGCCATATTTCAGCACTTTCTCTGTCTGTTATTTCACCAATTTGTGTATTTTCACTCTGCTATTGCTTAGTTATTGTTGTGAGGAAGTGTCACCACTGAGAATTACTGTGGTGAGCTACTCTTACTAGACCAACAGTACTTTTATAAAGCTAACAAAAGATGCTATGGACAAATTAACTAGACAAGGAAAGAAAAAGAGACTGAGTCAAACTGCTTCTGATGTTCTGCTTAGCTCAGTGACTTGAAGTATTGCTGAATGCAGATGCTAATTGAGATAGTGGAGAAGTATGTTGTTTTGCTTTTGTTTTGCGTTTAGAATTCCACATTCTCCCTTTCAGTGGTGCTGTTGTATTAACATTACATACACTCTTAGGGTGTGTCTGGACTACAGGAGGGGTTTTTTTTAATGGCTTTTTTCCGAAAAAACTTAACCTGTGTCAAGACTGCATCCATGTTCTTTTGAAAGTAAATCGAAAGAATGCAGCAGTTTTTTCGACTGTGGAAAACCTCATTTTACGAGGAATAATGCCTTTTTTCGAAGGTGCTCTTTCGAAAAAAGGCTCTATATAATGCAAACTGTGCTTTTTCAAAAGAGAGCATCCAGACTGCCTGGGTGCTCTCTTTCGAAAAAGTGGCTTGCTTTTTTGAAAGTACTGGTTGTAGTCTAGATACTCTTCTTCAAAAGAGGCTTTTTCAAAAGTATCTTTCGAAAAAGCCTCTTTTTAAAGAGGCTTGCAGTCTAGACGTAGCCTTAGTGTGTTAAACACTTTGTTTTTCCAGCTAACTAGGGTTTTATTTTAAGTTTCGGAAGGCATCTCTCTCTTTTTAGGCTTTGAGAAGCTATTCTGCATTCCTTATAATGGGGGCAGTGTCATTTCTAAAGTCATAATAAAGATGGGGGAAGGGGCAAATTTTAATTCAGTCAGTAGCCTGAGTAAATGAGGCTTGCAGCGTAAGTAGAGAGTGTCAAATTTCATGGGACTTGGGGAAGGAGTCTGTTATATAACTTTTGTGATTTTTGGAATCCCTTGCTGTCCAACCTACTTCTCCCATGCACTAGAAGAATTCAGCGAACTACCACAGAGCGCGACAGTGTGTGCAAGTAGTATTGATTAATTATGTGGTAACTTACTATCCTTTTCCCACTGCATAAGTTGCGCTGCAGCAAGATAATTCTAGAACCTTCTACAACCTTCTTAATTCTGTATCTCGGAGTGTGTTCATTTTTCTCTTAGGATATATCTACACTTTGAGTTTGAGAGTGTGATTGTCAGTTAGAAAAGAAATACTTTCATTACCTATCATCAAACTAGAGTGCTAAAAACAGAATGGAGCTGCAACAACAGAACAAGTTAGCCAGCCTAAATTCATACCTGCATGAGACTCTAGTCAAATACGTGGGGTGGCTAGCCCATCAGGCTACTCATGCTCCTTGGTCTGCAGGGAGACGGGGAGCACGCCCGCAGCGGGACAGCCCAGGCGTGCCACGGCTGTCCCGCTGCGTGCGTGCTCCGAGGCTTTGCTCCCCATCTCCCTGGTCTGCTGGTCGGGAGACGGGGAGCAAAGCCGCGGAGCACGCCCGCAGGGGGCTCCAAGGCTTTGCTCCCTGTCTCCCTGCAGACCAGGGAGATGGGGAGCAGCTTTTCTCGCCCCGGAGGATGGGGGCGGCGGACCACAGCGCATCTGGGCGTCCCGCCGCTCCCGTCCTCCGGGGCGAGAAAAGCCCCGTTCTTAACTGTGGATCCGACATAAGTTGGATCCGCATAACTTGGGGACTGCCTGTATCAAGAAAGGGAATGTATGCAAACATTGTCTCTATGTTCTCTATATTGTTTTGGTATTTCTGCAATAAATTATGTATCTTTTTTTCTACATTTAAAATAAAAAGTTTTTTTTCTTTACTTTGTTTCAGAGGTATCCTGTGGTGATGTCTACTTATTTGGGAGTCATAGGTAGAGTTCTGCTACAAAATGCTAGTTTTTTTTCAATGCTTCTGAGCCAGATGGCATGTGAATGCGGTCAAGAGGTAAGAAAATTTGTTATGACATTTCAAATGAACTGTACATGAAAAGTTTGATTCTGTGAACACCAAGTGCTATTAATCATAAGAATAAGGTTACTCTCACACATCATTGGTTGACATACCCCAAATGTACAAGTGGATATTATGAGTCATTATGTTTTCACTTTCTGTCTGCTCCCAATGTCTAAGAAAGCTTGATTTAAAATATTGTTATTGGTCTGTGAAATATTTTTCTCTTGTGAATTCAAGGATAGTTTACAAACCTGTGCAGACCCCAAAAGAAGGCAACCATCAGGTCTGGGCAAACTCATCCCTTTTAAGAGAAGTCAGGTTGATGTCTAATTTACAGGGAAGGGTTTGAAGGGCTTCCTGGGGCTCAGTCTAGAACTAGGGTACCACTTTCCAGCTATCACACTAACACTGACATCCACAGGCAGGAAGGTACATGAATGCTTCCCATGAGCCAACAATAGAGAGGTTCCAGCCAATTTCCCGCAGCTCTCAGCTTAGGACCCCAGAACTTTATTGTCCTGCCCTGATCAGAAGCCTGACCAGTATATGTTTGTAAACCAGTCTGCACCTGCAGAGTGGAGAAGACATGCACCAGCTTTTGTTCCTGAGCTGGGGTTTTCCAAGCCTTTAAGCAAAACATACTGTTTTAGGTATCATATAAAATAAGTTTATTAACTACAGAAAAATAGATTTTAAGTGTTTATAAGTATAGGCATAAAAGGAGAAAGATGGTTACTAAAGAAAATAAAAGTAAGCTTCCAATATAATATAAGCTTAACTGGGTTTGAATCAAGCAGTAGTCTCACCCTATTGGATATTACAGACCTTAATGTACAAACTTTTCCCATAAAATCTGGACTAGTCTCCTCAGATGATCTTCATCATCTTGGCATCCTAGTTGTTTCCATTGTAAGTGATAGAGGAGAAAGGCCCCTGCCTGCTACAGTTGTTCTTTATTTTATACCCTTGTCCCATGAGCCTGCCAGCTACTAGCCTCAGGATGTGCTGGTGCATTTTGCTGAGTTACATGAACAGTAAGCTCCCATTGTATGGTGTTTGCATGGTTGAGTACACAGTTGATTAATGAACGGTCAGTACCCACCTGGGCAGGGATCCTTTGTGTGTCACTAGCAAATTTACAGTATATTCAGTAACAACCACGCACACAATCTCATAATTTTATATATATTAATGATGCACATATTTGGCTAGAATAGCTGGTTTCAGCAGATTTCTTTCATATGATATTTTACATGCATGCTTTGTATGAAGTATCACAACCATATGTGAATAATGAATACGGGGATTAGAATGTGACATTCTGAAGTACAATGTATCACAAAGGATTATTTTCCCAACTCCTAAACACTGAAAGATGAACACTGTTGCAGCAGTTAATCAGTTTAACTCTTTGGAGAAAAATTCATCCTGTGCTGCCAGGATGAATTGCCCAGATGCCATTAGCTTCAAATATACTGACATATACCAGCAATAACTAGGACTGTGTGGGGGATAAGAAACCCCATTGTTCTTGTATCTTTTTACCTGCAACCTAGCTGCTTGTGAACTACAGCATAACTCAAATAATACGTGTCAGGCTATTTAATGCACAGCTATTAGCTTGCTTTTCTGATCAGACTCAGCAATTTTACAAAAGGTAGATTTCTCTTGGGCTGGATTGCCAACCTTAGTAATATTTAAAAACCAGCCACTCCAGCAGGAGTGTCAGAACCTCCACTGCCCCACCTTTTCTTCCAAAGCCCCACCCCACTTTTTTTCCTAAGCCCTGTCTTTGCCCCCAGTTCTCACCCTGCCTCTGTCCCCTCAAGACCTCACCCCAGTCCAGTCTCTCCCCACTCATCTACCCCCCTACCCAGGTCAGGAGGACTCACCTGTGGAGCTAACGCTGATAGCTGCAAACACCCAACTCAGGTAGAAGGTGCTCCTGACCGAATAAGGACTGGTACAAATTATGACTCAGCAACTCTCCATCTCCTTCACTCGCAGTAACCACACTTTGGGTTCTTGGTCGAAAGATCTGACCAGCCACTTTTGGGACCCTTTTCAACCAAATGCTCTAGTTGAAAATGGGGCACCTGCCCCACCCTGCTCCATGGGGTGAGTGGCCTAGCGATTAATATCCACTCAACTGTGAAGGGGAGCTCAGACACATCTGCTCCACTGAGCTCTGATCTAGGGCCCTAGAAGAGTTAGCAGGGTCGTGTGGGTGGGTGGAAGAGAGACTCTTTGAGTTACCCTCCTTGGATTGCTCCTTGCCACTGCTCCTTCTGCTTCTGGTACCAGATAAGCAGGAGAAAGGGGGTAAAAAGGAAACAAAATTGCCATCCCGACTAAGCTCAGCGTACAGTACTACAGCATAGGCATCTCTGGTCCCTTTTGCTAGGAGTCTGCAGGCTGGGTCTATAATCCTCCACAACCTGCTTAGCTTGGTTGCTCTCTTTTCAACTCTGTCTCCAACTGGAGTATGCTCTGCACGGTTGGAGAGATGGGGTTAGCTGGGCCCAGTCTCTTAACACCTTCTCTCACAATGCCAGGTTTATATACCCCATCACATTCTCCATGGCTTAGCGATTAAATAAATTGTATGTCAATAGCTATAGAAGTCTTTTCAGAGACCCATTGGAAGTGAGCAAAGGTGTGCTCTATGAATAAGATAGATAATTGCTAGTCAAGGCCAGCTTTTTCCAAGGAAGAGAGTGGACAAAACCTTTTATCTTCATGACCGCATGCTTCTTGGGTCAGTGGCTGCTCAAGTATTAATATAGGTTCTTGCCCAGCCTGGTGAAACTGTTGGAACATCTTCCCAATGGAACTAAAATCTATTCAGTGACTTTCTTGTTACTACAGATTGAATCTCTCAAATCCAGGACTCTGGTATGGCAACATTTGTGGATATTACTGGACCAAAGAGAGTGGAAGCCGAGAATCAGTGTCAGCTGGGAGAATGCAGGGGCTGGGGAGTCCCAGCTAGGCCAGAAGCAGCTTGGCCGGGGAACCCCAGCATCAGCAGTGCTAGGTGCCGGCAGGGACCCCTGCCCCATTTGTGGAACCCCTGGTTTCAATGGGGCCAGGCAGCTGGGGAGCCTCAGTGGAAGCAGGGCTGACCAGTGGTGGTAGCCAGGCAGCCTTGTCTAGGGAACCCCAAGAAACCCTGGGCAGCAAACCCCAGCAGCCCTGGCCAGGGAATCTCAGGAAATCCCTGGTGGCAACAGGGCCGGGATGGCTGGGTGGCCCTGTAGTGCAATCCCTGGCAATGAGTGGGCAGCAGCCTCGTGGGGCAGGTGTGGCAGGGCAGCCCAGCAGGGGAACCTCAGGGGAGCCCCGACTGCACAGCATTAGCGGGGCAGCGGCCAGGGTAAGAAGTCCCAAGGAGTGGAGCCAACGGGAGCTTTCACGTCCACCGGTCTGGCAAACTCCTGGGTCCAGGACTGCTTAGGTCCCAAGGGTGCTGGACTAGGGAGGTCCAATCTCTAGTAACTATTCTTGTTAGGAGTGCCAGTTATGTGCATAGCTCCCAAATAGCTCTGGTCACAGCAGTATATAATGCCACTTCCACTTTTCCCTGGTAAACTCCCAGTAATTCACTAATAGAGAATTTCACTCAGTTACCACCAACACAAAATAACCCAAGATGTCCTCCATAATGTGTTGGCACTAACCATTCTAGTAATGATGCCAAATTAATATGATGCATGATTTTTTGGGGAGGCCTCTGAATTGAGCCATCTCACACACCAACAGAAGAAACAACGAGTAGTCTTGTGGCACTTCAGAAATTAACAAAAATATATATCTTATGAGTTTTTGTGGGCAAAACCAGCTCACAATACTATATACATTTTTGTTAGTCTCAAAGGACTAACATTGCTATCCCTCTGAGTTACCAACAGAATTGCTCACTGCAAACTCTAAAAGCTCTCTTTTCCTCAACAGAAATTGGTCTAATAAAATATATTACCTTATCCACTTAATCATGAATTGTGTTAGAAGATCTGAACCAATTCCTGTTACCATTCAGTTACATTCTGGTGTATCCCATGTGCTGCCTACCAGTTAACGTTGATCCTGGTCATGTCAAAACTTCTAAAATGAAACAAGAAATCCCTTATTACTGTAATCTGTTGGGCAAAAACAACTAGGCAGATGAGGGCTTTCAGTTCCCATCCCAAGAATAATCTATCAAAATATGATTATTGTGAGGGTGGCACAAACCAGCCCACCTATAGGGGTCATTTTCCTGATACAATCTCAGAGACTATAAGCATGATCAGGGCTTGACAAATGGCAGCGAAATCTACTCACCAGTCCCACATTGCGCATGCGCAAGACCCGCATTGCGCATGCGCCTCCAGTGAACGGGTCAACCAGCTGAAATCTACTCAACATGGGCGAGTACAAACAGCGATTTGTCGAGCCCTGAGCAAAATGTTCTGGAATGGTTGGGGGAAGAAAAGAAAGTAACCGAACCATAAAGCTGGTTTGGCCACAGAGAAAGCAATCTCTTTCTCTTATATCTTTCTCTTACACACTGCTTGTCTTTAACACCTAGCAATGGATAGCTTGTAACAAGGGGGCGGGGAGTAGAAGGACTAGATCACATGACCATAAAATGACCCAAAATATGTAAATAGTTTTTTTGAGAGGAGCAGAGAATGGTTACAAAGAAATTCCCATTCCACTTGCACTAGATGTGTAAAAGCTCATAAATATGGAAATAAATTAACATTAATTTACTATCCAGAAATATTTTCTAAAAATAAATACTATATTAAACTTGAGTTAAGATTGATATTGAGAGATTGTAATTTATGGTTCAAAATATTACAAGAATGTTGCATTTATCCCCAAAACAAACATTACAAATCAAGGAAATTCAGAGTGATGTATGGAAATGCACAGTTACAGGAACCCAAACACAATCTGGGATGAAATTCTGTCTCTATTGAAGTCAAGAGCAAAATTCTTATAGA